TGGGGGAAGCCTGATGGAGGGAAGCAAAGGGGGGAAAATGGGCAACGTCTGTAATACTCTCAACAATAAAAAGAATAAAAGAATTTTAAAAAATCAAGCTATGTTAAGGCAAAACAGTGAAAATGTAGATTAAGAATATCTGTTGACCTCCGATACAACTACTAAAATAAAGCAAATTTGCTTTACGGTCACACTGTATCTAGCATAAAACAGTTGCTAAGTTGCAGTATCATCCCACAAAAAGGAGATCAAGTATGACTTGTCCTCCTAGACAAACCACCAGTGAAAGAATCAGAAAAATCAGAGACCTGGTGTCCTGACTGCTGGTCTTTGCTCTTCTCATGACACCAGAGGGCAAATGTGCCTATACGCTTTGGAAAGTGTGGGCATGCATTTGTTGCTGGGGATGGGATGGGAAGGGAAGGGAAGGCTGCAGTAATGAGAGTAAAAGGGCTAATAACACAGGAGATGGGAGCAATTACTCTACTAAAAGCTTTACAAGAGTAAAAAGCACACGCGTCCATAGGAAAATAACTAAAATATTTTGAACTGTAACACATATTACTGACAAGTGAAAATCTTTCCAGGAAGCCCTTCTTGAGTGCTCCACATATTGACTTTTTGGCACATTTTATTAAAATATACCAGGGTTGACACATTTAATGTAACCAAAGAATTGCCATATAGATAGTTGTTGCTCACACAGTCTCCAAAATGAAAGGCAGGTAGCAAATGCCATCTTATTACTGCTCTTTTGCAAAATACCAAATGCAAACTACTATTTTTCATTGGCATCCTTTGCACCAAAATGAGGCTGCCACCAAAGACTGCCTGCCCCTCAGAGTTCAAACACTGAGGCCAGAGAATTTCCATGCATGGAGCATGTGCTGCTAAGCTGACCTTTCCTTAGATGTTCATTTTTAAAATGAAGTTAAACACATTCACTTTCAGAATATTAGCATAATGCAGCCTACATTGTGAAACAATTTGTTCCTAAAATATTAATGCCCAGATGATTTTTTCCCCTCCTATATTGGAAAATCAGCCACACACATCCACAAGTGGCATAATTTGCTCCTCTTGTAGCTAGAGACCCTGGTAGAAGTCAGACACCATCAAATGCAGACAGAATCTTATCACACTACCTCAAATGGTTCCAATCTTTCGAACTCCCAGACCACTAAAATATCCTCCCCACTCCTACTGGACGTTCTGCCCCAAGGTTCACTGCATTCATTGTTAAAAAGTAGCTCACAGTTTATGAAATTTAGCACACAGTAGGATCGAAATTAACTACTTCAAATAATTCTAAACCAATACTCTGCACACCTTAGTGACATGTTCCGAGAATGAAAAGGATCACAAAGTTTGCACTTAATAACATTATTGTTGGAGATTTTCATGTAGTAATTCTGAAATAATTTTACATCTTATGGGATCAACCAAGTAGTAAATACTGATGTTATTTAAAACTAAAGTTCTCACCATCAGAGAAATAAGATACAGATAGGGAACAGGGAAGGGTGAGGAAGACAGGTGAATGTAAGACCTGAAATGAAAGAATCTGAAGGAACTCATGGTGCATAAACAATGCATTTTCTGGCTCTGTTCCCTGAAAGGGCCTAGAAACAATGACATCCCATTAGCACCCAGATCTTGATTTCCAAATACCATTCCCCAAGGAAAGAATGTAGGCTTTTCCTTGAAGAAATAGCCAATCACCAGTCTGGGGCAGGCAAAGTGTATGATAAATCTAGAATATCTTGCTATAGCAAAAGGGAAGAAAGTGCTCAAAGACTGGTAGGCACAGGTCAAAATAATCCATGAATAAGCTTAAAGGTGTTCTTGCTGACCAAATTTGGAACAATTACAGTAATTTAAATAGAATGTTTAAAAAGAATTGATGAACCCACAGACACTCAAAAAAAAAAAGTAAGAGGTAGGGGAAAAAAGTGCTTCTTTGTAAGAGTGCCAGCTAATAATGCAGATGAAATGCTGGATTCAGCAAGTCCCAACTTGCAGCAACCAATGTACTAAGAGAATGGGTTCTGGCAAGGATTATCAATGAACACTAAAAACACCGAGTGAACAGGATCTCCACTTGGTCTCTATCTCCTTCCAGATTATTTGCTTAAGAAAAACAGTCTTAAAATATAAAGATCTGACAGAAACTCAGTGATAAACTTATGTTGGCAATAATGTGATAATAACATTATGTGCCTCCTGATGAGATGTCACTCAATGAATGGGGCATACCACATGCCATTGTAGTAAATGTTTATCCTGAGCCTGTATGTGAGAAACAATCAGAGAAATACAGAATTCTATAAGCTAATTGGCGTTTGTCAAGTGTCAATTTCATTCTTATTTTTAAAAACTGAGAGAATTGGTCTAGAGTAAAGAAGGCTACAGATACAGGACAACCGAATGCCGTGGGTTTGGATCCTGGAGTAAAAAAAAGCAAAGCTTTAAAGAGCATTTTTGGGAGAAAGTGAGACTCAAGTTTGAATATGTACAATCCATTAGACCACAGGCCAGCAACTTTCAAATAGTGTGTCACCAGTGGAAAGAATGTTTAAAACACGCAATATATGACTATTTAGTCAGCAGTACTGAATTGTTTTCCCTTAGGCTGTCAAATAAAAAAATGAAAACCACCAACCCAACAAGAGCCGTTCAGTGAGAATGAATCAACTTTATACTTTTTTTGGTCAAATCAGCAAAAAATATATTTTTTGGTGTGCTGCAGAATTTTCGTAATTAATTATGTGCCATGAGATGAAAAAAGTTGAAAATCTCTGCATTAGACAATTCTGTACCAATGTTAAATTCCTGGGGTGTGATAACTGCATTATGATCACGTAGGAAACATCCTTATGCTTTAAGAGACACGCTGTAACAGTAATGAGTGAAGTGCGAAGCCACTTCTTCCAAGTGAAAAGCGTGCTTACATAGAGATTATGGCAAAATAACAATTGTTGAATACAAGAAAAGGATATGTGATTATTTCGTGGTACTGCACTTTCAACTTTTCTGTAAACTTAAACATTTCAAAATAAAAAATCGGAAGTAAAAAAATAAGGGGGGGGAAAAAGCTTACTGATACCATGAGGGTGCTTCTGGGGGCTTTAGCAAAGTGGACCATCCTGCTCTCAAATTTAACCAAACTCAATGAAAAAACAGAAGTGATTATAGAACAAATTGAGAAATCAAGCTAAGATGGCAAACAAATTTCTAAACCTCCTCTTCCTATTAACTTAGACATGTGGGAGGCAAGTGGTATAAAGATGTTGGTAAATGAGTTCTAATGAACCTTAATTCATTTATCAGCAAAAGTTATAAAATAAAATTAAAAGGCTAACATGTTTCTCTTCTTCTAAATTATAATTCCAAAGGGCCATGAAGGGCTGACAGGGAAAGAAAAAGTTATTTTTAAAAGTTAGTACAAAAAATAAAAAGTTAACACAGTGGCTCATTTTGAGAAGTTGGCAGAATGATGAAACTAGATGTTTTCTTATCTAAAACTAATAAGCATTTACAATTAGATATATACAATTAGAATAGGGCCCATATTATTTTAAAATCTCCCAAACCGAGAAAAGCATCATCACCAGTATGGTGTTTTATCTTTTAACAAAAAAACTATCCCACCAAGACCTTTTCCTGAAGCTTATTTTGTAATGATAGACACTGAATCAGCTCACACTTAATTCCATTATCAGTACATAAAATGCTCCCCTAAATATTTAGCATTCTGTGTGTTATTTAACAGCTTTCAAAACCACAGTTGCATCTCAAATGCTGCTGGTAGACTCTGCTGACCTAACTACAGTACTGGAATTTTTATATGGCCATTGAACTTGAAAAAGTATTTTTATTCAAATGGTCATGAGTTTATTTTAGATTATGAAATGAGCCACCCCATTCCCACCATTTCCCTCTGAAATCCCAAAGAGATGCAGCAAAGTTCATGACCACCTGGCGGGATAGTCACTCAAACTTTTTAATCTCCCTTTACACATTATATTAACATTCATATTGCAAGGCATTCCATTCACAAATATTACAGTGTGATAAAAAACTTCCCACACATACCCCCGAAAGTCGATACCAGATTCGGTCACTTGACTAAATCATTAAAATAATAAAATGAAAACATTATCATAATTCTTTTAAAGCAATAAGGTCTGAGGCACTCTGGGAAAGATGTTCTCGTATGAGTATAACATGTCAGTGGTATCAAATTATCTTACAAGAGTCACCTGAAACCCAGTAATCAAGTACACTCTAATGACAACGACTTTCATCTGATATGCCTTCACTGGATACAATCCCATTGGGACTGAACTACTGAAAGGAGCATAGGTATTGGGCAGCTGAGGTCACTTCTAATGAGGCTCCCAGCAATGTAAAGGTGAAGTGTTTTCAGCACTCCGGGGTCGTCTGTATCCCTACTGCAAGGAAACAGTACAATCTTCAGAGGTTCCTTTCTCATCACAACCAGGTTTACTAAATGTTAGGACGTAACATCTCACCTGACTTACTCTGCTCACTGCGGGAGAGATTTCAGAACTGGCTTTCCCCATCAACTTCCACAGTGAACCTCCACCCTTCTCTGAACATCTCCAAGGTGTGCCCTTGAAATAAAAAAAAGTGTGGAAGGGAACTTTTCCCCTCCCATTTTGACCAAATAGAGGTCTGAAATAGCAATGTATCAGAAAATCCTCATGCTCTACGACAGCCAGCTACCACCTGGAACATGGCTATTTTTGCCATAAGCTAGATTTTTTAAAAACCTATTATCTCTTTCCAAAGTGGATTTTGCCACATCCATTCATTGACAGAGTCGGACCGAGTGCTTCCTTACACACAACTACAAGGGTAAATAATTAGCATGGGGGAGGAGGGAGGCCAATTCCCAGCCGGGAATTAAATCACTGCACACTATGGGTCCATTTATGACAGCATATAATCCTGTCAGAGCAGAATCAACACAAACGCAGGGCACATAGTGTTCAGTAATTACATATATGAAATTTAAAATGTGTACATATATATTTCCTATATAATAAAAAAAATCTGAAGCAACATATGTTGCTGAAGTTTCAAGGATTCTCATCTTCCACATTCATCTATCTGGAAAGCAGCTGGCTCTCGATGGCCCAGTTGTGGCAGTGATAAAAGCAACTAGAAGCAGGTTTAAGTAAAAGTGCTCATAGGGCAAATGAGAAAACAGGGGTGCAGAAATTTGGGGAGTGGGTGGTAGGGGAACACTGAAAGGAGTTGAAAATGTTTCCTTTACTCTTCTCGGCTTTTCCAGACCCAAGGTAAGTTCTTGAGGATACATGTCAAATGCTGTAGTCCCTCCTTTATCTACAGTCAAAACAAAACAAGTAATAAAAAACTTCCTCTTCCATTCTGTAATTTCAATAAAAAGCATGGTACAGCCAGGAGGTGTTACTGAGATGTGCCATCTCGGGGAAATTAAAACTGGGACATGAAGTGAGGCCTCTCGCTATCCAGTCGCCGGGTTAGGATTTCACAGCCAGTGTCCGTGACCAGCAGGGTGTGCTCGAATTGAGCAGACCGCTTCCCGTCTCTCGTCACTGCAGTCCAACCATCTGGCCAGGTTTCATCCTGCCATCCACCTGAAACAACCAGAAACAATTCCTTAATCCAGTCACTCAGTTTTCTAAATAAGCTCTAGGTAAGTGTATTTGTGTATCCTATATCCTTAGATATCCCAGAAAACCAATTAGAAAATTCATTATTAAGAGTCCTATTTACACTTTAAGTTTTACCTAAAGTCGTTGATATTTAAATCTACATAGATGTGTTATAACTTGACATGTTTTATACTTCCCAAATATCAAATCAAGATGGTATTTCCAAAATAAAGGCACTTGGTTTCATTTTAGAAAATATAATGATACCACTCATCACAGAACTATAAGAAAAAAGGCTGAAGGGATGAATTTAACTCTTTCCTGGTATAACCCTGGTATCTGACTAAACTATAGCCAGTGTTAATACAGATCATCCCACTTAATTCTCACAGCAGCCCTGGGGAGGTGGCAGGATACAAATTGTAATTTCCATTACAGAAAAGAAGGCAGCCTCTCAAACAACCTCCAATGCTCCCCTCCGCCGCCTGAGTGAGGGCTGGATTTAGAGCCTCACTTCTAAGGAAGACAATTGGAAGGAAGTGATGGGATGTCTCTCCCAAGATTAGGTCATAAAAAAGACTGGAAGGATCCAGAGAGAGAGGTATATCCTTTCACAGGGCCCAGGACACATACCTACCACTACTGCCTCACTCTGCATCTCCTAATCCCAACAAAGAACTGACAGAAAAGGAAGGTGGGGGCTTCATAGAGCAGACCCTAGTTATCACATCTCAGTGAGGAGTGCGAATCATGACTCTGAGTCTACCTATCATCGTTGCTACATGCCTGCCACAAAGAATAACAGCAGCGAGGACATAAAACTGCAGTGCTAAGTGTGTCTGTGCTGTGCTTTCTCCACAATAGCTGTGTGACACCACCTGATGACATAAGTGCAGACCGTGAAGAGGAGAACAATTTAACCTCTTCAAGGATCAGTTTGCTCTTCTGTATAACAGGGACAGCACTACCTCGTAAGTTGTGGAGAATTAAATCATTTAACTGTGCCTGCCTCAAAGTGAGTGGCTCTACTTCTTTTCTCCTACTCCTACTCAACACTCCCAACCCCTCCCCCACGTCAAGCAAGAATTTCTATGCAGATTTGATGGAGGCTTCTAATTATTACAATGCAGGTCCTGGCTGGGTAGCTCAGTTGGTTAGAGCATTGCTCCAATATACCAAGGTTGTGGGCTTGATTGCCCGTCAGGACATATACAAGAAGCAACCAATGAATGCAAAAATAAGTGGAACAGCCAACCTCTCTCTCTCCCCCCTCCCCTGTCTCTAAAATCAATCAATAAATAAAAATTAAAAATTACTACAATGCATCCTTTGACAGGATCTTTATGAAAGGGACCAAGATTCAAGTACTTCTGCATCTACTGACAGAAGAACATACTGCTTCCTTGCCAACCCTTTCAATGTTTAGTTCTCTACATGACACTAAACCAAATTCAACATAGGACAGGGAATGGAAATGCTAATCTGTACATCAATAACCAAAAGTAAACAAAAAATTCAATGAAAGAACAATACGGCATCCTTTTTTCTCACCTTCACAAATCATTGGCTCAATTGTAAATACGTGGCCCGCCTTCATCACTCCAACTGCTTTATTTTCTGAAATTAAAGAAAAAAAAAATCTCAGAACATAGCAAAAAACCAAATGTACTGTTGAAAGCTCACTGGAAAGAGTACACAACTACATTCCCATCAGTCATTCTCAATTACCTTGTCCTCTCCCAATTCTCCTTTCTTAAAGTAGATCATTCAACAAATGAAAACCACCTACTCTGGAGCAGATACTGTCCTAGGTGCAGTTCATTTTGCTTATGGTTTTTCTAGGAAAATACACAGATATCTGGTAAGCTGAATTTTAGATGTGGTTATCACTTTTACAAAAGGAAGAGTGCCACCATTTATGTTATGGCAGGATTAGAATTGCAATCATAGAACCAAGCAAAATTCCTTACTCATCCAGGTATAACAGTTTAGGGGTGTGTGTGGATGTGGGGTGGGAGTCAGGGCAGAGCCAACAGAAACAGCTACACGATTTTCAAAGTTTTGTAAGTTGTCTTCTTTTACTTATCTTCAAAGGGAAACAAAGCCTATTTTTTTAAATGCTGATAAGGTTATCCCTTTTTATTTGAAATCAGAAATTCCATTTCTCCATCCAAATACTATTTACCTTTCTATCCAAATTCACTAATATAAGAGTATTTTCCAGGACCATCATGAGAAACACAATTATGAGTTAAAGTGTCCAGAACTGCCATTCCTCCACCCACCTAAAATGTCATAATTTAAAAATAGGGATAGTGCCCTGCCCATGTGGCTCAGTGGTTAGAGTGTTGGACCACACACTGAAGGGTCCCTAGTTCGATGCCCAGTGAAGGGCACATACCTGGCTTGCAGGTTCACTCCCCACCCCCAGTCATGGTGTGTGAGGGAGGCAGCCAGTCGATGTGTCTGTCTCACTTCTATGTTTCTCTCCTTCCCCCTC